AGCAAGAATAGATAAAATTAGACCATGCAGTTTGTTTCACTAAGTGGTTATCCATAAGTTATGGATGCTTTATTCTGTGCTTGCTTATAGTACAAATATGTTGTTCACTGGGTCCCCCTTAAGACTATTTATAGAAGTTTTATGTAAAAAGTCTAGTTTTTAAAGTAAAATGTAAAACATTGAGCCCTTAGTTTACATCATTTTCTTTTTATACTGATTAATTTGTGTGTGCCAAATTTGTTCTAGTTTCTTCCAAAGCATTGGAAAAATAATTTTTAAGTTTGCATTGATTTGTGGTAATATCTGTATTCAACAATCAAATGCTATACTATTTCCTTTTAAGTGACTATGTACTTAATTACTTTCACTTGTAAAGCAATTAATTAATTTCAGAGATGTATTTTGGTATTGAACCTATTGATAGTTGTAGCAAATACTGTATCAAGATTGCAATATATGTTTTCCAATCATAACACAAAAAAGTTTTCACATCTGCAGAAAAAGCTCTCAGTTTCTCCTCTATATTATCATTCATAATTGCAAAATATCCCCCAAATAGTTTCTTGTTCTCATTTTCTCCAGTACTCCTTCTAGGAAATACAAGGCAAAAGGAAGCTGTCCTTCAAGAAATTTCTAAATGTACATCAGCCGTTCTTTGTTATTTGAGCATCTATCTTTGTCTTTTCATTTCCACTTCATCTTCTGTGTCCAGTATTTCCTTGATCTGATCATGAAATGTTCAGGATAGAAGCTGCTGAGGTCTGAGCTTTATGGGTTGAACTTTTACAAGCTTCTCTGTTTTTCTGCATTTTTTTAACCTCTCTGAGTTTTTGCCATATCATGTGGACATGGTTTTGTAACTCTTTGACCAAAGCCTTCACAAATATAGTGAATTCTTCCACTTTTTTAGATAACAACAGTTTCTTCTGTGCTTTTGATCTTTTTTTTTTTGCCAGTGTTTTGCTGTTTTTATCACATGTTAATGGTCTCAGTTCACCAATCAAAAGAAACAGACTGGCGGAGTGGATTAAGAAGCAAGATCCAACAGTGTGCTTCATATAAGAAACATATTTAAATAAAAAAGAAATTCATAGACTCAAAGTCAGAAGATGTAAAAAAGTACTCTGTGTAACAGGAACCCAGAAAAAATCAAGGGTAGCTATTCTATTTGCAGACAAAGTGGATTTCAAGCCAAGACTGACTAAGAGAGAACACTCCAGGTGGAAGAGATAACAATCATAAATAAATTTGCACCAAATACTAGTGCATTCCATTCTATAAAAGAAATATTAATAGATATGAAAAATCAAGTAAGCACTCATAGAGTTGTAGTAGGGGACCTCAGTGCCCCACTGTCTCATGCAGGCAGATTGACTAGACAAAAAAATCAATAATGGATTATTGGAATGGAACCAAACTTTTGAACAAATGGAGTTAGTAGATGTCTACAGAGTGTCCCAACCCACAACATCAGAATACACATTCTTCTCAACTGCACACTGGAAAATCTGCAAAATAGACCACATACTAGCTTAAGAATATGCTTAAATAAATGCAAAGAAATTGAAATTATCCCATGTATATTATCAGATCATAGTGCAATGAAATTGGAAATCAATAGCAAAAGAAACCACAAGAACAAATGGAAATTAATACCCTTCTGAACAACCAGTGGGTCACAGATGAAATTGAAGAAATTAGACAGTTTCTACAATTAAATGATAATGCCAATACAATATACTAGAATGTGTAGGAGACAATGAAAGCAGTGCAATGAAGGAAATTTACAGCAGTGAAGACCCATATCAGGAAGACAGTGCATGCTCAAATAAATCTAACATTGAATCTCAAGCTTCTAGAAAAAGACCAAATCAGGCCAGCACTTGGGAGGCTGAGGCAGGAGGATTACTGTGAGTTTGAGACCAGCCTGGGCTACACAGTTGAGTTCCAGAGCTGTCTGAATGACATAGTCATACCCCGTCTCAAAAAAACCAAAAAAAAAAAAAAGACCAAGTCAAACCCAAAGCTTGTACAAGTGAGGAAATTATAAAGATCAGAGCAGAACTTAATGAAATTCAGACAAGAAAATGATACAACAGATCAATGAATTGAAGAATTGTTTCTTTGAAAAATTAAATAAAATTGACAAACCCTTAGCCAACCTTACCAATAAAATGAAAGAAAAGACTCAAATCCATGAAAGTAGGAATGAAAAGGGTGAAATCACTACGTCCTGCAGAAATCCAGAAGATCATCAGTACCTACTTCAAGAACCCAGATTTTCAGGGTTTTGTTTTGTTTTGTTTATGGTACCAGGGATCGATCACAGGTCCTTGTGCTTGTGAGACAGGTGGCAGCACCACTGAGCTAAATCCCTGCCCCATGAACCTGGATTCTAATAAGATGGAAAACACTGAAGAAATGGACAGATTTCTAGATGCATACGAATTACCAAAATTGAATAAGAAAATACCAAATTTCAAATAAACCAATCAGTGAAATTAAGATGTAATTAAAAACCTACCAACAAAGATAATCCCAGGCTCTTATGGATTCACTGCTGAATTCTATAAGAAATTTGGAGAGAAGACCTAATGCCAGTACTTCTCAAACTCTTTGGTGAAATCGAAAGAGAAGAAATACTCCTAAATTCATACCTGGAAACAAGTATTACTTTGATTCTAAAATCAGAGAAAGATCCAATGAAAAAAGAGAACTACAGATCAATCTCCCTAATGAACATAGATGCAAAAATTCTCAGTAAGATACTGGCAAACAGAATGCAGCAAATCATCAAGAAGATCATACATCCTGACCAAGTAGGATTCACCCCAGGGATGCAGCGATGGTTCAGTATCTGCAAATCAGTAAATTTAATACAGTATATTAACTGAGCCAAAGACAAACCATATGATCTCAGTAGACAAAGAAAAAGCATTTGATGATGTCCAATATCTATTCATGATAAAAACCCTACAGAAAACTTGAATGGATGGTCTTTGTGGTCTTTATCTTATTATGATAAAAGCCATCTACAAAAAATCAATAGTAACATCAAACTAAAAACTAAAAGCTTTCACTCTAAAATCAGGAACAGGACAAGGATGTCCACTATCACTACTCTTGTTCAGTATAGCTCTGGAAACATTAACCACAGCAATTAGATAAGAAGGAAAAGGAAAAAAGATAGGAAAAGAAGTTAAATTATGTTTGCATATGACATCATACTCTACAAAGGAGACCCAAAACACTCCACCAAAAGACTTCTAGGCTTAATAACCAAAGTCTGTAGTATAGCTCGATACAAACTTAGTACTCAAAAATCAGTAGTCTTCCTGTACATGAGTGGTAAGTCATGGAGAGAGAAATTAAGGAAATAACACCTTTTACACTAGCATCCAAAAAAATGAAATACTTAGAAATCAGTTTAAGGAAAAGTAAAAAAGACCTCTACATTGATTTTGTTGTTGTTGTTTATCTGTTTTTTGTTTTTCTAGTACTGGGAATTGCACTTAGGACCTTGTGCTTGCCAGGCAGATGTGGCCACTGAGCTACATCCCCAGCCCTCAAGACCTCTACATTGAAAACTATAGAACTCTGAAAAAAAGAGATAGAAGAAGATAATCAGAAAATGGAAAGATATCACTTGTTCTTGGGTGAAAATGGCTATAGTGAAAATGGCTTTACTTCCAAAACTATTACACAGATTTAGTGCAATTCCAATGAAAATTAGAGAAAACAATCCTAAATTCATTTGGAACCAGAAAATACCTAGAATAGCAAAGGCAATTCTAGACAACAAAGACAAGGGACCAGTTGTTTTTTTTTTTCTTGTAGAGGCTAGAATACTCCATTTATTTTTTTCCTATAGAAAAGAAAAACAAAAAATCCCTAGTAGTCTAAATTTCACAAGTATTTTTCAAAAAGGAAGGATGCAGTGATTTTCACTAAAGAAGGTAGCTTAGGTGGCTTAGGTGGGCCAGGGATTTAGCTCAGTGGCACTGCGCCTGAGTTCAATCTCCAGATACAAAAAATAAAACACAACAAAGGATAGCATAGGTGTTAATTAAAAATAATTAAGAGAATTAATAGTGACATTAATTAAATATGTCAAATCAGCCTTTCCTGTAGTCTTTTCTCCTTCCTTCACTAGTGTCCTGTGAAATATCTTTGCTTGTGTGTCTCTGGTGTTAAAATTGGAAATCAGACTTGCCAAATTAGTCTGTGTTATTAAAAGGCAGGAGATGAGACTTATATTTCCCCTGCTTATAATTTTGTGTCTTTTTCTCTGGGTGGTACCTGGATACATTACCTTGCTACTTGTCATGTTTCTTAAAATCAGATATAAAGAATAGACCCCCTAAGCTGGGTGTAATTATGCACGCATGTAGTCCCAGCATTCTTGGAGGCTATGGCAGGATTGCAAGTTTCAGCTCAGACTGAGCAACTAAACCAGACCCTGTCTCAAAACATAAAAAAGTCCCAAATTCAATTCCCAGTACTGGGAGAAAAAATTTTAAAAGACCACACCTGGGGAGCTCAGCCTGAAATCCCCCCATTCCCATACTGGGGATCAAACTCAGGACCTTATGTTTGCCAGGCAGGTGTGGTGCCTCTGAGCTACAGTCCTAGCCCCATCCTGACTCTTGTATTACCCACTCAGTCATTCTGTAGCTATTGATGAGGCTCTGGGCTCTGATTCTTTTGACTCTGATCAGGTAGCTCAAAGGGTTGAGAATAGCACGTGGAGGGACTGTGTTCACATCACAGATGTACATTCCTCTAGGTTTGACTCTGTGACTGTGCAAGAAGGGACATGCCTGAAGCGGGCAGGCAGTTCTGAACCCAAATGCATCTTTCCCTATCCATTTGGAAAACTGTTTCTCCCTTATCCATTTTGATAAAAGTTTTGCCTTCTGTGATGAAATGCTTATACACAGCCTGTGCAGGCCACGGTGCCCTTGCTGGCTGAGTCACCATTTGGCTTTTTTCTGTTTCAGACCGAAACATGAACATTTTGCAGTACTGCCCCACCTCTGACATCTGGATGCTCTTTGAAACCTGTGATGTCCACATTCGGAAGCAGCAGATGGTGTCTGTGGAAGAGACCATCTACATTGTGGGTGGGTGTCTGCACGAACTGGGGTCCAACCGCAGAAGCAGCCAGAGTGAGGACACGCTCACCGTGCAGTCCTACAACACAGTCACGCGGCAGTGGCTCTACCTCAAAGAGAACACGTCCAAGTCGGGTCTGAACCTGACCTGCGCACTCCATAATGATGGCATCTACATCATGAGCAGAGATGTCACCCTCTCGACCAGCTTGGAGCATCGCGTTTTCCTAAAGTACAATATCTTTTCAGACAGCTGGGAAGCATTTCGGCGCTTCCCAGCCTTTGGACATAACTTGCTGGTTTCTTCTCTTTATCTGCCTAATAAAGCAGAAACATGACTGACTTGACCTAGTATTTTCGAAAATTCTGGTTCAGGATGCACACGCACATACGCACCACACACGTACACCAGGGAGACTGATTTCTAAAGGGAAAATACATGTTAAAGTAGTCACGTGTACCAAGAGCAGCTGTAAATAAGCTTACTTTAATTAATTACTTGAAAAATTGTAAGAAAAAGAGACCAACTTTATTATGTTTTAAATTACTGATTTTTAAATTACAGGAGCACATCCATGATTTCATCAAAATATGATACTAGGTCCAGCAGCTTTCTGAAACATTGAAAACTAGATTCATGATGTCTGCTTGTTAAAGAGCTAATTGATATGAATGGTAAAGACACTTTTTAAAGCAGCATTAATTTAGATTTAGGTTACTTGAAATAGGATTAATCATTTAAGTGAGAGATACTCTGTCCTGTGTATCATTTTACTTGAGAAGCATAGTTAATGACAAACATTAATTCTAATGTTGCCATTCTCTTTTTCTCCGAGTCATGCTCTGTGTTCAGATATTTATTCATGCACTATTTTTCCAGGAAACCTACAATAATGAAATGTTAGCGTGGAATCTTCAATACATTAATTCCCACCACAACTTGTATAAAATCATTCCCATCTATTTTTCCAGGTTTTTTTTTTTTTGCCAATTATGGATGCTGAATAAAACTAATAAAAGCTCTTAACTGCTCTCCTTGAGGAAAAGTGATATCATAAAATGTACAGATCTGTTCCTGTTACACATTCTATCTTCCCAAGCACTGCTGGCAGCCAAGAATAACGAAGTCTTAGTAGGAGTCCATCTCTTGAAGAGGCCACGGTATACAAGCAAACACACGTTCATGTGTGCGTATAGTATACACACTCATCAAATCTGGTGTGTAAGAGAGCTCTGTGGATCAGAGTATACCTTCACTTTGTCCATGTGTTTAATCATCAGTACTATTTCTTTTTTTGTACCAGGGACCAAGAGACATTGTGTATTTTAAAGACAAGGCATAGAAGGATGGATAGGTACATATATTTTTAAACTTGAAAATAAGGAAAGGAAATACCATGTAAGAAAAATAATTTGCCTTTAAGAGTTCCTTTATTGAATGTATTAGACTTAGTTCTTGTTTAGAGATTGAAACAAAACTTTTCTGTGCACACATCAGCTGTGTTAACATCTTGAGGGGAGTTTTAACAGTTCTGTGCTTATTGGTGCCACTGTTTTGTTAAAGACCTACTTAGAATGAAGGCAGTGTTTCTTTGAAAATCTGCCCTCCTCCCCTAGGTCTAGCCTTTATTCTTTGAGAATACTTTTTTTTTTCCCATTCTTTCCTTTTTCACAGTTTTTTTTTTGAGATGCTTCTGAAGGATGGTGACCTCCCATTGTCTCTGGGAGGATCCCCGGTGGGAGCAGCTTTCCCTACAGGGACAGTGTGGGTGACAGAGGGTGGGTACTGAGTGGGTGGAGGAGGAGGTGGTGGTTTCCTGTCACTCTTCCTGGCTTTTCTTTCAGCACCCTTAGTGGCTCCTCCCCTTAGCACCTGTTATGAATGTGTAAGAGCCAAGTACTTCAACAGTGTTGGTTAAGTTTTAATAAAGTATTGAGAAGCTGATGGATACTAGTATGAGGCAAAAGGATTAAGATGAAGCATGAAAACCAAAGAAAATTAACTGACATTAAAAAAAAACCCAAGGTTCCAAGTAATTCCAAATGCCTTAGATATCAAAGCTATGCTGAAGTGGATAGTGCTTTTCTTCTACAGTGTAGAGAATGAAGTAAATGTTTTCTTTCAGTAAACAGTTGTCCATGGAGCACAGAGTGTGCATTGTTTTCCGATTCCCGGAGAAGGTATGACCGTACGTTATTGAACAAAGAGGTAACTGGAGAAGAAAGGCCTTGGTCTTTCTTATCAACCAGCACTTAATGAGCAGTGCTGAGTGATGCAGATCACTTAAGAGGCAGTGGTCGAGGGCAGATGGGTGTCAGATGCCTTCTTCCTAGACCAGGAAAAGGAATATAGGATTTAAGCAAATTATGAAGTGTGGCGGGCACTTTGTGCCAGGATTTGATCTCAGAATCTGTCAAATCAACGCTTGCAGACACCCCTTACTACTCCCTCAGAGTGGATTGAAGCCTCTTTTCCATCCCTATCTTAGATGTAAGAGTAAAGGGAGTAAGTGAGTAGATCTCTCAGAATGGCTTTAAAAGCAGTGAGCTGACTCAGCCCAATTTCCTGGTTACCAGAAACACTTACTTGAATGTCTGTCAGTACAAGACAGTGTTAAGAGCCGGGAACACAAGCATAAATAAGCTGCAGCTTCTGACCTTGAGGAGCTTACAGCTTTGGAGCAATGTCCACTTGAATTGTCTCAAGCAGGGCTTCCTCCCCAGAGTTGCCCATCCTCACGAGGCACTCGGAAGTCTCTGGCCTGGCAGCCTCTCAGGTTTCACTGAACCTGTCCTTTGCTCGATGTGATAATAATCAGAAAACAGTTTTTCTTAAAATTTGAGTATAACCTGTGTTTTACTTTCTTTTACTGTGTGCTTTTTAATCTCCGTACTTCATTTTTGTGAGACACTAAAGTTATATGTGATCTGCTTCATTTAGACACATTTACTGTGCACCACAGCCTTTGCTGCTGACCCTCAGCATCCTGATCTTGTGAAAGCAGTGATGACAGGAAGTAAGAATTTGGAGCAAGGCAAACTGAATGTGTATGTGTTTACACCTATACTTTTAAAACGTTTTCACGAAAAGTACTAGTCAAAATTGTTCACTCAGACACCAGTCCCCAGTAAATCAGTCGATTTGCATTTGTGATAATTACCAAACAGTAGTTTTCCATTTGTATGTTTCATTCAGTGAGGAGTTTTTTTCTCTTTCCTGTGTTACCTTACGAACATACATGCGTGCTGATGACTGTACTTGACATAACCATTGTTATCCATTCCTACAGGATCCAGACTGCATAATAGATGGCCAATTTGAAGAGCAAAAGGGTGCTGAAATGGCTTTTGTACGGTTGGCTAATACATTATCAGTTGATTGCCATAGTTTATTATTGATAAAAGGAATTTGTGATTTGGATTATTATGTCTTGAAATCTTCAGAGTAGGGGTACTTCGCAGCTGGCCCTATAGTGTTTGCCCTAGCTAGTAGTCATTTGAGGGCTATAGGATGTATACTTGTATTTGGTTGGATTTTTTTTGTTGTTAAAAGGGTCATATTGAGGCCTCAATTTCAAGTGTGGCCTAAACTGTGAGCATTGTGCTACGGTTCCTTGAACTGTAACGCCTCTGCATCACTCACTGCAGCAACATTCACTCTGTTACTACAACTCTGGAAGAAACGTTCTTCAAATAAAATAGTTCTGCATCTTCTTTCATTGTGTTAGGTTCTGTCTACCAGCTATGTAGCTGGGCTGTGTCAGAATGGGGAGGGAAAAGCGGCATTCTAGAAAAAACTTCTGAATCCTGGGGATGCCAGCTTGACACTTTGAAGCCTGAAGGGGAGGTATCGTTCTTTTGGGGGGAAGAGCCACGCTAGGCAGCAGATAGTGAAAACAGTCAGGGTGTAGGGGAAAGAGGTGCTCACGACTGCTCTGAGTCCTGAGCATCCCTGGACTCCTCTTCAGTTAGCCCCAGTGTGAGCTCGAGTCCTTAGACTTTGGAGTAAAAGGTGAAGTCCAAATGCCACTGCTTAGCAGATCTCTATATTTTGAAACTTTTCTTAACTTTGAATAACTCTCCAAGGGGTGGACATCATGGCGCACGCCTGTAATCCCAGCATTTGGGAGGCTGAGGCAGGAAGGTTCACGTGAGTTAAAGGCCACCCTGTGTTACACAGACCCTGTGTCAAAAAATAAACCCCCTTATCAATCCAGAAAAGCTAAAACACATAACTCTTGGCCTTTATGTAGTTATGACTCTGGCTTTGAGGCTGGAAAGGGATATGGAGGACAGTGCTACAAAATAGGGTCCAGTGACTAGAAACTGTCCAGGAGTTGTTCATTTCCTTCTAGCCTTTGCCCAGTGCATCAGAACGCATGGGTACACACACACACACACACACACACACACACACACACACACACACACACAACATATGATTTTTAAAATGAACCCACTTAAAATTCTGTCTCAACCCCCCCCAAAAAAAAACCAAAAAACAAACCCTCCTTCCCAAGCAACTGCACCCAGTGGTGATCTGTGGTTCATTGATTCCCAAGTCTAGGGTTTTTAGGGGTGTCCATCCCTTCCAAGTGCACAGCTGAGTTTTGACAGCCTAAGAATAAAGAACTCCAGAACACGGTTGGGGAGGAGGCTGGCTGATACTGCAGAGCAATGCCCCACACTAATGACTCGCTGGGTACCAGGAACTCTGTTAGGCTTCTTGTATCTAAGCCACCCAGTCCTCAATATCCGTCCCATGTGGTAAGTACAATTGTATCCCCACTTTATAGCTGAGAACGCTGAGACTTGAAAATTGCCACTTGGGTGAAAGCAAAAGGGAGAACTACATACAGTTGTCACTGGTTCAAAGTATACACTTGCCTGTTGGTGAGGAATAGCAAGGCTCCCTGCCCTGTGGGTTTCTGGATTGGCCAGTCTGGTTCTGCTTTCGGCAGAATGTCCCTTGGCTGGGCCTGAGTGGCAGTGGCTGTGCTGCAGTCCTCTTGTTGGCATGATTGCAAGGGGAGGAAGCGGGGAGAGAAGCCTGAAAACCTGTGAAGGCTGAGGGAGCCAAGGCCCTCTTTGCCCATCAACATTTCCTGGTCAATAAACTCCCTGAAAAGCCCAGGTAAAGCCAGGCTTGGTGCTGCACAACTGTAATCCCAGCATTCTGAGAGGCTAAGGAAGGAGGATCACAAATTCAGACTCTGCCTAGGGAATTTAGCAAAACTCTTACCTAAAAAACAAAACAAACAACAGAAAAAACAAAAACCAAAAATGGGCTAGGGAAAGCTCTGAGTTCAATCCTTAGTACCACAAAACAAAATAAGATATGCTTATAGGTTGTTCTGTGACAACTTTGTGGGATAAAGGCCCAGATTTAATGGGGCCTGTTTCTTTACCTTCATGCTTTTTCTTATCTGTGGTTTCCCTACCCTGATGGTGCCAATCTCTCCCTCAGCTTTGGAAAAACTTGAAAGAGTAGAGCCTGCCCTTGCCAGACTACATCTGAGGAAATGCTGTTTAATAGAAACGATTATGTCTGGCAGAAAGGGCTTGTGGAATGAAATTCCCACTCTTTCTTTGCCTCTTCCAAGGGTCTAGTCCGACTCTATTTTCCTGACTGTAATGAAGTTTTGACTGAAGTAGAGAATCTGCTCTCGTAGTTCTGAAGGACCAGAGGCTGCCGACAGAAGGGTTTATTTAAAAGCATGACCTTTAGAACAAGACTGACTGAGGGATTGTCCCAGTTTTACCACTTCATGGCTGTTCAAGATTGACCACACTACTGTCTCCCTGGACTTCAGTTTATCTGTGAAGTAGGGCAACAACAGTATCCACCTTATGGAATCATAGCAAGAACTGTCTGAATGAATCTGCATGAAGTGCTCAGGAAGGCATCCGGTATGTGGGCAGTGCACACTGGATGTGAGTCTTTAGTGGTAGCAAAGCTGTTTGCTGTCCCTTTATATTTTCCAATGGGGCATCTAGGCTAGAGGGTTTTGCCTCTCTTAAAATACCTTATTGAAGCGTTTAAGCAGTAACCAACAATCCCAAGACATAGGAATAAGAAACATCTTAGGGTGCAGCAGGGTAGTCAGTTGTGTCGCTTTGCACATGAGGATGGGGAAGGGATAATCCTACCTCTCCCCCACTTCACCTTGCTTAGCTTTTTCTGTAATTGGCTTTGGATATTTGCAATATCCCATCTCAAGTACCGGCCCTGTTTCAGACTTCAGCTGGACCAACCCAGATTATATTCGCATTTCCCAGTATTC